AAAGGGAGGTGGAAGCAGGGAAGAGAGAAAGGGGGAGGGAGAAATTAGAGAAAAGGGACAGAAACAGACACGGGGCAGAGAGTTGGAGAAAGACAGAAACAGCTAAGGGGAGACCAGACTGAGGACGGCGGGCAGGGAGGAACTGGGGAGAGGTCCCTGCAGACTGGGCACTCAGAATTTCAGCTGGGTTATTACCAGGCAGCCCGATCTTCGGCCTCAGGATCACTTCGAGTGTGGCCTTGTTGAAAATCTCCTTGCTGACCTTCACCTCGGCAGGTCCATACACACCCACCAGGACGGAGGTATCACCTGGGGAGATAGCAGGGGAAGGCTCACTCACACGTTCCCTGCCTCCAGGGCCCAATGTGTGGCACTGAGCCCGATGGCCAGGGCTCCCAGTGGCAGCCCCACCATGGTAAGGCAGTGATTCTTTGAGCGCTCCCTCAACTTCTCTGCCTGTGCTTCCTCATCTGTAAAATGGGGATAACAACAGTACCTCCCTTGTGGCCTCTTGTGGGGATTAAAGGACACAATTCACGTGAAACAGAGCACTACCTGGCACATGCTGAGTGTGCAAGAGATCTTCGCTGATACTAGTGAGTTCTTCCTGAGAGCTAACCTTCCTCCTTCCTACTGCAGCTGGCCTCAACTTCTCTTTCCAAAGCTTTCCCCAGCCCAGCTCTCTTCTCTCAGGCATTCACCTCCAAATTCTGCAGCAAGCCGGACACCTGCTGCTTATTTCCCCAGAGTGGGTAGGATTGGGGCACCAGGCATACAAAGGAGACTGCACTAGAACAGTGGCTTCCAAACTTTTTTGACTGTAACTCCCATTAAGAAATATATTTTACAGCATGACCCCAAACTCACCCCAATATGTGTTTATAAATGGAACAAAGGCAGCACAAAACAATTCATCCTATTTAAGACTGCAACCCTTTCCAGCACACCCTATTCCCCTTCTCAACTATATTCTTCTCCATAGCATTTTACTACATGTTTTAGTCAGTTATCTTGTTTATTGTGTTTCCCCTACTAGAATGTAAACTCCGTTAGGGCAGGGTGTCTTTAATCAGTTGTGTTTATTGCTGTACCCTCAGTGCCTAGAACAGTACTTACCATAAATACATATGTGTTCAATGAATGAAAAAAAAAAAATCAATGAAAGGTTTTTTTTTGTTTGTTTTTTTTAAAGAGACCAGGTCTTGCTCTGTCACCCAGGCTAGAGTGCAGTGGCATGATCATAGCTCAGTATAACCTGGAATTCCTGGGCTCAAGCTATCCTTCCACCTTAGCCTTCTAAGTAGCTCGGACTACAGGTGCAAAAGCAGGTTCTGAACCTGGGTAGAAGGTAATGCCTGAGTGATACGACTAATGCTTATGAGGGTGAGCTCCACGTCTATCTCCAGAGGCATATTTAGCTGGGTCAGGGAGTTGAATCCACTTTGAGAGGTATTTAGCTAGGGGAAGGGGATATTTGCCCAGTAGGAAAGACCTGCCCCAATCTGAGGGAGAGATCATATCATATGGAGAGGTGTATATCCCAATCAAAGGGATATTTACTCAGTTGGTAAGGTGGGAGTGAGGGAAATATTCTTCAACCCAGGGTGGGGACATCACCTTCAATCTGAATATTTAATAGGGTAAAAGATCTGTCACAGTCTAAGGAATAATGAAGCCCATGGTAGTGATCTGCCAGTCTAAGAGACATTTATGCAAGTGAACAGGTTTGCATTAGTTCGGGATGTATGAACCCAGGCTGTGTGTGCGGGAAGCGGAGAAAGAATCTAGTCAAGGGGATATTTATACTAGTGAGGAAATTTTCCCTATTCTGGAATATCATTTTGGTGGGAGGGGAGGAGTCTGTCCTCTCTCATTCTGAGAGATATTACCTGGGTGGAGATACCCTCTCCCTTCTAGTCCGGAAAAAGACATGTGCGTATCCTAGCGAATCTAGTACTATCCACCCGGACAAGAAATTCTGCATCCGTGCAGGAGAGACTTTTATCAGCTAGTATCGCGGGGAAGTGAGCACTCCATTGCAACACACGGTAGCCGCTCTCCGAAACAAACACGACCTGGGTGAACCTCACCCGGGCAGTTCTTACCTGGGTTAAGTTCTTACCTTGCATGAAAGAAGCAGAGCCATCTGGCCGAGACAGCAGGTTTTGTTCGCAGGCAAAGTGCCGGAGGCTGCAGCCGGGGCCCCGAGGGCCGGACTCTGTTCCAGTCTCAGCGCGGATCTTGGCGTCCGCGTGCATGGTCCCCTCCATAGCGCCAGAGCCCGCGTGCGGCTGCAACTGCTCTTCCGCCCAGCAGCACGCACCTGCGCATAGGCCGCGTGACCAGTGCGCACGCGCAGGCCCAGGGGCCGTCTGAATTGGCTCCCGCACGTGGCTTAGCGTTTACCAACAATCTGGCTCCGCCCACTCCCGCCCCCTAACCTCGGCAAAGCCATAGGACGGTAGCGAAGAGGGGGCGGGCCTTGGCATGGACGCGTCCCATCCGAGGCCCCCCGGACCCTAAAGCCCCGATGCTCTGGTCAGATTGCCCTCTTCTTTGCCTGTTACAGGAGAAGCTACGAATGAGGCGGTCGGAATAAATTTTGGTAAGATAGCTTGTCTTCTCCACCTCTCTATGCATCCTAGCTACCACGGGACGGGAAAAAGGTGGTCTTCTCGTCAGAGTGGTGTCGGCATTTGAGTCAGGCTCATGAAGGGGCAGCCCCAGTCTGGAGCAAGAGGGGGCGGATCGCCGAGTGGTTGTTGGCCAAGATGGCGGTAGCGGTCGCTGCGGCCAGGGTCTGGGGGCCAAGCCGAGGCCTGGGCCAGGCTGCCCTCCTGGCGCTGCGGCGACCTGGGGCTCGGGGGCTGGCTAGATCCGTGAGTACGTGGGGCCCCAGCGGATTTTCCTCAAGGGGGAATAGGAATGCAAAGGCTATCTTCAGGGCGTGGAGCCCCTGCCTGGTGTGAAGGAAGGGGTGTCATAGAAAGAAAAGGGACTGGGAGAGACTACTTGGAGAGGACACTCAAGGGAAGAACTTCCACTTCTTTAGGAGAGGAACAGCAAGGCAGCTCCTTTGTGGGTACTGAGGAAAAGAGGGGTGGGGTTCCTTATTTGTTTTCATCTATCTCCAGGGGAGGTCCCTTGGAGAGACAGGGGAGGATGGCGAGACCTTGTCCCTCAGAAGTTGGGGAATGAAAATGACTTTGTCTCGGGGAGGCTTTCTTCTGAGTAAAGAATCCTCTTCAGAGAGGAGAAAGGAGAGATCAGGTTCCTGTCACGGGCTTTTATAGGACCCTGCATTTCTTTGCTTCTTTGCCACAATTCTAATTTTAAAATGGATTGCGTAAGAAACTTGTTTGATTCTTGTATCCCCTGACCGAATGTCAAGATAGGAACTTCATGTATTCTGGACACTATACAGAGGACATGATTAGTAAGTGTTTGCTGAGTTAATGAGGGGAGGAAAAGAGGAAGAGAAGTCCAGACAGAGCACTTTGCACACATTTCTTAGAAACACTTGAGAAAGCTTTGTTTCTTGTCAAAAGGGTCAGAATCCCTTTGAGTAGATGGTGCTAAGGGCAAGATCACGCTGCAGAAAATCTAGGTGGAAGCCCCTGCTTATAGGGGAAGAGGCAGTGGGCTGCAGAAGAGCCTTGAACTAAAACTTCACAGATAAGAGAGTAGTAGGCCGGGTGCTCAAACCTGTAATCCTAGCACTCTGGGAAGCCAAGGCGGAAGGATTGCTTGAGGTCGGGAGTTTGAGACCAGCCTGAGCAAGAGCAAGACCCCATCCCTACAAAAAATAGAAAAATTAGTTGGGCGTAGTGGCCAGCACCTGTAGGCCCAGCTACTTGGCAGGAAGATCGCTTAAGCCCAGGAGTTTGAGGTTGCAGTGAGCTATGATGACACCACTGCACTCTACCTGGGGTGACAGAGGGAGACTCTAGTCTCCTAGTCTCAAAAAAAAAAAAGGGGAGTAGTAGTTAAGTGAGTGGGTTCTGGAGCTAGACCACATGGATTCATATCTCTGTTCTGCCACTTCCCAGTGTGTAGCTTTGGGCAAGGGCCTGCACCTTTTGGACCTAATTTCCCTCTCTGTAAAATGCTAACAGTGGCCACATCATAGAGTTATTGTGAAAATTTAATACGTAAAGTGCTAAGAACTGGACCTGGCACATCATAAGGGTAAGAAAAATATTGGTCACTGTTGATAGTGAGGGTGGAGGGAAGGGACAAAAACTGTCCTTGGAGATGGAGAGAAGAAAGGAGGTGACCTTGGGAGGGCTTGGATTGATAAGGCTGTGGGGAAAAATTTATCAAGTTCTTGTGAGGTTCGTTCTGATCCTCTGATCCCTCATCACAAGGAAGGGAAGATGGAATCTGTAGGAAGAAGCTCTGGGCAGGGGAAGAAGCGGGAGGAAGGTGAAGAGGATGGGCCAGGAGTGGAGCCTGAGTACCTAGGAAGGGAGTGACTTGAAGCAGGCAAGTATGGAAAGATCGCAGGAGCAGGGCAAGAAGTGGGTAGGGCAGTCTCCTGCCTTTGGGCTGTTCCCTTTTGCTTTTTTTTTTTTTTGAGCAATCATATGCTCCACAGCTGATGGTAGTCCCAGGAGCCCATTGGCTGGGCAAGTGGGGTGGGAGTTGGGGGACCGGACTGGGGCTGGGTAGGGAAAAGTCTTGTGTTGCTGATTAAATCTGTTTCCCTCCGGGCTCAATCTCCCAGTTGCCTTCCCTCTTGTCTCTTCTGCTTCCTTTTTCTTTTTTTTTTTGAGACAGAGTCTCACTCTGTTGCCCGGGCTAAAGTGCCGTGGCGTCAGCCTAGCTCACAGCAACCTCAAACTCCTGGGCTCAAGTGATCCTCCTGCCTTAGCCTCCCAAGTAGCTGGGACTACAGGCATGCGCCACCATGCCCGGCTAATTTTTTCTATATATTTTTTAATTGTCCAGCTAATTTCTTTCTATTTTTTTAGTAGAGACGGGGTCTCGCTCTTGCTCAAGCTGTTCTTGAACTCCTGACCTAGAGCGATCCTCCCACCTCGGCCTCCCAGAGTGCTAGGATTATAGGCGGGAGCCACCACGCCCGGCCTGCTTCCTTTTTCTTGGGGGGGGGGGGGGTGGTGGAGAACTCCCTATGTTTTATTTATTTATATGTTTAAAGTTTTGTATTTTCTTAGAGTCACTGTTTTTTTTTCCCCCTCTCACTTGTGTTTCTAAGATTAAAAAGGAGACTGCTTTTCTGAGTTGGGGGGAAGATGTAGTAGCATTTAGTCAAAGAAGACATTAAACCAGGCTGTCCAAAAGAACTTTTTTTGCAGTAATGGAAATGTTTTATATTTGCCCTGTCCAGGTCAGTAGCCACTAATAACGTATGGCTACTGGACACTTTAAATGTGGCTAGTGGGACTGAGGAACCAACGTTTTAATGTCAGTCAGTTCCCCCCACCATGTTAGTCAATGAGTTTAAGTTTAAATAGCCACGAGCGGCTGGCGGCTGCCATAGTAGATGGTAGAGTTTTATGTAAGTGGAGATGAAGAGATAGTGCCTGGGGGAAAGGTTGGGAGGTTGTATAGTTACAAACAGATTGGATTGAATTACTGGGCAAGTGGCCTTAGGAGGAGGGATGGGGCTGCTTTACTTTGTCCCTGCCTTGTTGCCTGTCCTGCCACCACCCCCTTTATTGGAGGCGTATGGCCAATTTCTACCTCCCCTTGCTGTCATAACAGATGTTTTAGTGCTCAGGGCGAAGAAGAAGAAGGAAACTCAGTTTGTCAGGGGAACGTGAGTCGGTTTCTCAGCCAGCACCCCAGGCCTGGGCTTTTGCCAAGCCATTTCACTCCTCTGACTCCAGCAAGAGGGGTGAGTAAAGTCCCTACCCCACTGGGAGTCAGGGAGCACCTAGAGCTCAGTCTGTGCTAATTATCAGTCACTTTATTTCTGCGACCCAGCTGCTCAGGGGCAGCCTATCTGGGGGTTCCAGTGCCCTGTGCATTTTCTCTAAGTGGTAGGTGTGTATTGCGGGATGAATGGAGACGGTCATTACTGATCTCCTAATCATACGGGTGCCTCTCCTTGGCTAACACTTTAAGAAACCTAGCCTCATTTTTCACATCATGAAGCACTTTATGATTTACAATGCCAGCTCACATCCATTATTATATTTAATACAGCCACACGGCAAGGTCTGTACTGGTAGTGCTCTCCTATCACAGATAGAGAAGCTGAGGCTTAGAGAGGTGAGGTCTGAAGTTAGAGCTCTAGGTTCCGAAGCCCCCTTCTTTTCATGGTACCAGGCTGCCAGGAGGAAAAGGGTTGGGGCTTAGATTTCAGTCTTAGGCAACATCCTTCTTAGGTCAGCAGTGGCGTGTGTCGCCAGCCTGTGCCCGGGCTGTGGGGCTGGTTGGAACTTAGGTTGGGAAGAGCCCCTCAGCCCCCAGTGCCCCCTTTACTCTCCTCACTTCAGCCTCAGTCACCACCTTTTCCTTCCTTGAATGTTTCTGCTCTCAACTGGAGGCCTTTGTAGGCATGAAGTCCTTCAGATGATGGCCGACATGCCACTTCCACAGAGAAGCTTCTGGACTGCAGACACCGGGTCTTGATCTTTAAAACGGGGACAGTAGTAGTACCTCCTTTAGAAAGCTGTGGTGAGGATTAGAGAAAATGCTTCCTTCCCTCCCCTGCACCTCGCCCCAGGCTGTCACAGGATCATACCTCACTGCAGCCTCAAACTCCTGGGCTCAAGCCTTCCTATTGCCTCAGCCTCCCAAGTAGGTGGAGCTACAGGTGTGTACCACCACACCCAGCTATTTTTTTTTTTTATAGAGAGGAAGGTGTCACTATGTTGCAAAGGCTGGTATTGAACTCCTGGCCTCAAGTAATCCTCCTGCCTCCCGAAATGCTGGGATTACAGGCACGAGCCACTGTGCCTGGCCAAGAAAGTGGTTCTTATGAAGCACTTAATACATATACTGAGCACTCAGTAAGGGCTCAAGAAATGGGAGTTTCTGCAAACTAGGGACCGTAAATCTGGTCAGGGAAATGCCCTCCCCTGGGGCTTTACACCTTCAGTGTCTGGGGGAGAAGGTGTGCCAAAGCCCCTGGGTCCCTGAGCCTGCCTAATCTTCATACCGCCCGCTCCTAGGCAGATATCTGGGAAGGGGAGGGTCAGCTCTTTGCTTTGTTTGAGGGCAGAGTGCCTCAGAGGTTAAGAGAGAGCAGGATTGGGTGGCCTTTGCCATCCCAGATATTGAGGACTTGGGGTTAACTGGCACCGTCCACAAAGCCTTCCATTCTCTGGACCTGACCTTCCTTCCTGC